ATATTAGGCAACCAAAAAAGTTCGTGCGGTTTTTTTGTTTACTTTTATGAAGTATATTCAGTAAACTGGATCTAGTGGTAGGGTAACTTTGAATACATGTTAAGACATATGTCAAGGAGTGTCATTCAGTGTATTTGTTAATTTAGATTACTTTCAATTAAGGCGAACAGAAAAGTTGTGGTTTTCCACCAGGACAATGCTAGACCACGCACTGCAAGAATCACTCAGGAAACAATAGCGCGACTAGGATGGGAAATTCTACCTCACCCTCCGTACTCGCCAGACCTTGCTCCAAGTGACTATCATCTGTTTTTGGCCTTGGACAACCACATGAGGAATCGGCGATTTGAAAATGAAGTGGCTTTGGACAACGAACTAAAACATTTCTTTGATTCCCAAAGCAAGATTTTTACAAAAATGGAATATATGCTCTTGTGTCTAAATGGGAAAGTGTATTACTTGCTGAGGGTAATTATTTTTCGGGATAAATCCAAGTTTAACCCGTTTTTATGTTATTATTCCGCTACCTTCAAAGCAAGAGCTTTTTTGGTTGCCTAATACAACAAATGGCCGTACAGTCACATTGGTGCTGGTACTTTTATTGCTTCATTTATGAAGTACATTTGTTATGAAGCGTTGCGACATGGATATATGAATGCATGCTGTCAATAGCTATGAAAGCTCAGGCTCTCGGCCGCTCAACTCTCGCTTTCTCGTCACTTTTCAGCGAGTACCAAATTATGTACAATACCGCTCCTAATTTGTGGTCAATCGACGGTTTGCGACAGATTTTTCCGTCGCAAACCGTCGTTTTGCCATAACTTCTGTAAAGTGGTCCAAATGATCTGAAATTCAGACCATTCGATAGTCCTGTACAAGACGAATCCAATGATGTATGGACCTTCCACTTTCCTCCAATTTTTTGACGTTTTTCCCAAGGAAATCGAGGTTTGAGTCTCCAGTAACCTAAGGTGTTACCTGCGGACACGGCTGCGTCGTCAACCCTCCAGTCCAATTATGAAGTTCAAACGAAGTGCCACAAAGCCGTAAACACCAGCATGTTCAGAAAGAGCATAATTCCGTGATAATTCTGATA